AGAGGCGTGAGGCGCGGCACGCTGGGCGGGGGCGGCGGGGTGGCGCTGGGGCTGCTGCTGCTGCTGCTGCTGTTGCTGCTGGGCGCGCTGCTGGCGCTGCGGGAGCCGGCGCCGGGGCCGGCCCGGGGCGAGGCGCGCGGCGGCGGCGTGCAGAAAACTTTCCGGGCGCTGCTGGCCGCGGGACGGGAGCGGCAGCAGCAGGACGAGGGGGAGGAGGACCCGCCGGCGGCCCCGGTGCGGCGCGGCATCTTCTGGAGCCGCGAGCTGGAGGCGCGGGTGCCGCCGGGCTTCGCGGCCGAGGAAGCGGCGGCGTGGCGGGCGGCGGCCCGCGGAGCCCGCGTGGCCTCGCTGGAGCGCGGCGGCTGCGGGCGCAGCTCCAACCGGCTGGCCCGGCTGTCGGACGGGAGCCGCGCCTGCGTCCGCTACGGCGTGAGCCCGGAGCAGATCCAGGGCGAGGCGCTCTCCTACCACCTGGCCGGGCTGCTGGGCATGCAGCAGCGGCTGCCGCCCATGGCGCTGGCGCTGGTGGAGGCTCGCGGGCGGCAGTGGGAGCCGGTGCGGGAGGAGCTGCGCGGCTCGCACTGGGCCGAGGGCGCGGTGGTTAGCCTGACGCGCTGGGTGGACAACCTGACGGCCGTGGTGGCTCCCGCGCCGTGGGGCGGCGGGCGGCCGCGGGCGTTGGCGGCGGGCGAGCTGGGCGGGCTACCCGCGGCGCAGCTGGTGGAGCTGGTGCAGTGGAGCGACCTGATCCTCTTCGACTACCTGACGGCCAACTTCGACCGCCTAGCCAGCAACCTGTTCAGCCTGCAGTGGGACCCGCGCGTCATGCGGCGCGCCACCAGCAACCTGCTGCGCGCCCCCGACGGCGGCCTGGTCTTCATGGACAACGAGGCGGGGCTGGTGCACGGCTACCGCCTGCTCGCCACGTGGGACCCCTACAACGAGCCCTTGCTGCGCTCCGTCTGCGTCTTCCGCGAGGGCACAGCGCGGCGCTTGGCCGAGCTGCACCGCCGGCGCAACGCCGCCGCCGAGCTGCGTCGCCGCTACCGGGCCCGGGAGCCCCTCTGGGCACGCCTCGGCTTCCTGTCGGAGCGGCAGGCCGAGCTGCTGCAGGCCCGCGTTGACTTCGTGCACCGCCACATCGCCCAGTGCCGCGCTCAGGCCGCTGCGCTCTGACAGCACCCGCCCTCCCCGCGCCTCCGCTCCCTGTTTCCCCGCTCTCTGCCTACTAGGGCCGCGGAGGTCCCTTCGGCCTCGACTCCTCCGTGGGATGCGGAAGGAGTGCTTTCAACGTGTTCTTCCTCCTGTGGCACACGAACCTTGGCACTGGGACTGAGGACTGGTCGCACGAAGGGGCACCCCCTGACTGGCGAACTGCCCTCTCTCTGAAGCTTGGCTCCTACCGATTTCCCTTAAGGAGAGCAGACCTGTCGCTGGTGCTGTGTCCAGCCGTGAGCGGGTACTCTGGTAGCTGTTAGTCTGTGTTGTGGGTTCATCTGGTTCTGCTGTTCTGATCCCCCAAGTGTGTGTCTGTAGTCGTCGCCATCCTTTGATTTGACGGTAAAATAACGGACTGACGGTGACAGAAGAGGACCCCCAAAGCATCGCTTTGTGCTGAGACTTGGGCGCAATAGTTAAAAGTGGAGGAAAAAAAACTGTTCCATGCACTTTACTTTGACTTTTTAATTTTTTTATAAACAAAAAGACCTTTTTATTTTACAAAGTCTGCCTTTTATGTACATTCTCTATGTTCATAAGCTTTTCTGTAACATACTAAAGAAACTGATATTTCAGTAAAGCGTGTTGGTGATTTGCCTCCTTTGTGCTGAGTGCCTGAGCTGCGCTGCATTCCGCTGTGTCCCGCTGCATCTCATCCACCTGTGTCCTCCTGCCTTGTGCTGTGTGGCTCAATCTGAGCCAACCCGCCCCTGCTGGCACCCTGATAAGCCGTCGGTTTTGGAATGCTGCCCGTGGGTGATGTGGGCAGAGCTGTGCCAGGTGCTTGGGCTGCATCCCAGCCCTGTAACAGGGTCACTTCTTGTGTTGCTGTGCCCTGCGAACCCCTGTGGTGCCGCCTGCTTTAGCCCTCCTCCCATTCCTGCTATCTGTGCTGCCAGAGCAGAGCCTGAATTGAATAGACTCATAGAACTATAGAATGGCTTGTGTTGAAAAGGACCCCAACGATCATCTAGTTTCAACTCCTCTGCTATGTTCAGGGTCGCCAACCTCTAATAGGAAAGCTCTTCCTCTGCTTTGCTAAAATGGTTTTTTAATAGAAGTTTTGTACGTTCAGCAAAGTGATAGCATATTAGATAGAACTTTATGAAGTCTCTTTGGCCGCAGAAGTGTTTTCTGTTTTATTTTGTGTGTGTGTATGTATATATATACATATGATGTAAGACCCCAGTTTAATGAACAGTTCTGTTAGCTGCAGCTGCGGCAGCCTCCCAGGCAGCTCCCAACCCAGTGCCCCAGTGGCAGGACTCTATTGAACTCGCTTCCATAGTTCTGCATTTGTCTCTGGGAACAATGCGCAGCTCCCATGTGACGTTCTCCATTTACATGACAATGCTCAGTTCAGCAGTGTAATTCTTAATTCTTCAGTGCTGTTTGTCAGCCTCCCTCCCTAACTCGGAAGCAGCAGCTCTGTCACATTCACCTCATGAAAACGCATTCAAATAAACAACTGCTGGTGTTGGTTGTGAGCAAACGGTGTGCCTGAGCTTCCAGGGTTTCGGTTCTGTTTGAGTATTTCTATGAGCATTGATATGGTTTGGATGACCAATGGGAAAAATGCTCTCTTGCAGTGTCTTTGGAGCCAGACCCTACAAAATTGCACATCTCAAGCAGAAAGAGTTTTCCATCTGACTTTATACACCTCAGCTGTGTGCAGGGTGTGCGATGGGTTGGTGATGCTGAGCTGTGTGCTGGGGAAGCCACATCCTGCAGGGAGCTGTGCTCGTTCGGGGGCTGGGGAAGGAAAGTGGGCACTGCGGTGCTGCTCTGGTGCAGACTTACTGCTGCGCTGGAGAAAGCCCCCCATCACCATTGTGTTAGGGCCTTCTGTGGGGTTTTTTTCACGGCAAGCTGTGCTTTGTACATTCTTGCTCCGGTGCATTCTTTGCGTGCCTCTCCCTCGCGACGCGCCATCAGAGCCTGGGCTGCCTCGCAGCAGAACAAAGGGCTGCAGTTTGGTCCGCCTTCCCCTGCGGGAGACCTCACTGCTTCCAGGCTCTGCAGTGCTCCAGTGCTTTTTTTTAGGCAGTGAGGTGGGACGTGGGACAGGCTGGCCACTGCCACTGCAATCTGAGGTTGATAGCCCAAGACACGGAGCTGAGCAGCACGACGTCAGCTTGAGGCAGGATGCTCAGCACCTACTCTATGCAGGGCAGGATGGCTGCCGCTCCCAGGGTGCGGCTGGTGCCCATGGGGAAAGGCCTCTTGGTTTCTGTCTGCAAGCATCTGAAGTAGGTGGAAGCTGGACATGTGTCTGTGAGGTGTACCAGCCCATTGCTGGGCTCAGGGAATAGCTGGAAGGAAGGAAGTGAAAAAAATAGGGCTGGTTGCACTCTGGCTGACTGGCGCTCAGCATGCGCTTGCATTGCTGTGCAGGCTTTGTGGTTTGATTGCCCTTTGAAGTGTGGAACACTTTTTAATGGTAATAATACTGAGAATTTTCTCATCGGCATGCTAGGTGGTCTGGGATGAGTTTGGATATGAGCTCACATAAAGACTGAACCCATTTGCTCGTTACTCCCAGTTTGCAGCCACAGCACAAACCCTGCCTAGACTCAGCTGCAGATTGTGCCCACATCCAGAATCCGTGCCACACGTCACCCTGCCCTCTGCCAGACCGCCTTCCTGATCCCCAAAGTTTTCAATGGCCCTTACTACGTTCAAGCTGAGGAGAAGTCATCATTTCCTTTGTTTCATTAGGAGTAACAGGGTTTTCTCATCTTTTGAGTTTCTACCAATGTGGTGCAAAATCAGTGTCATGCATTATGGATGAGCTTGGATGTAAGGACCTGGAGGATACTATGATTCTGTGTTAACGGTGTTTCTTCCTTTCATACCAGCTACACAGTGAGGCAACTGCTCTGTGCAGATAGCCTCAGTTTTGTAGCCACCAGGGATGAAAACCAGGCCTGTGGTGTGTGGAATGAGGGCAGGCTGAGCTCCTCCTGACCCTGCTGAAGTGAACATAGTGTTTGCTTCCTTCTCATTTTTCAGTCTGCTGTCCGTATAGTGATTCTGCCTGCTTCTCGCCATTCCAGCCATGATCAGCGTGTGCACACCAACAGAAATTCCCTTCAGAAAGCAAAGTGTACACACTGATGGTTCTAACAATTATCCTGCCTGATAGGGATTACTCACAAAGCTCGTTAACATTTCAGATCTTGGTTTGTGTGATAGCTAGAAAACACAGGTGTGCCAGATGGAGCTTTTGATGCATTAGAAATGAGAGGATTCTGACTTGTAACATTTCAGATGCACTTACATCTTCTGGAAATTGTTGGGAAAGGGCAAATACCAGGGAAGCATTCTCAGCATCTCTGTACCACTGCCTGGGAGCTGGGATGTAGCACAGGTGGGTAGCACCTTGCTACCCCGCTTGTGCAGAGGCTGTGCTGGTGGCTCTTGTGCCACAGGGAAGCAGGGATAGGGAAGCATGGCCAAGCTGTGGTGGTTCCTGTTTTGGGTCATGGTTGTCATGCAAACTGGACAAGAAAGGGAGGGGTTTATGCTTTTGTGTCATTATTTGCTAGTGCAAATAACACCTTAGGAACACAGCAGAAAACAATCAGGCCACTTGCTGCTGTTAACTACTCAATTTAATTAATGTTCAACCCAGTTTCAGAACAATGGGGTTGAAAGAAAAAAAGAGACCACACGCACCTTTGTCGCAAACTCAAAGCAGTCACAGATGTCACCCAATGTTGGAAACCCTTCCAGTGCCCAGGAGGATGTGATGCTGGTTGGAACTTAGTTTTCTGGCTTTCTGCCAGTGGAAGATTGGAGATGGCTGTGGAAGTCTGTATTAAGCTGCTGACAGTGCCAGCTGAAATGAGCCCGGCATGGCTGGGCTCCTCACAAAGCCTCCTGTTTTGCTCTGACAGCGCTTTCCTGAAGCGCACTGCACGAAGGATGCCACGTGCCATGTTTCCACTTGGAGGCAAAGTCTGTTCCCTGCCTCCCCCTCCTTGTTCGGAACCTGAACTCTTCTCACGAGGAGTATTTAATTTCCCTTTGTTCAGGATAAAACGGTATGCAAAGTGTGCGTTGCCATGGATGCGAGATGAGCGCCCGACAATCCTCCCTTACCCAGGTAGATCCCAGCCTGGGGATTTGGTGTCCACTGGCACCACTGCTGGGGTGGAGGGAACAGCGAGCTCACAAACAGGAGAGAGAGTGAGTTTTTGCATGATCTGATAGTGACTGGACAAAGGGAAATGATTTCAAACTAGAAGGGGAGATTCTTCATTCGGAGGGCAGCGAGGCACTGGCACATGCTGCCATTAAAGGCCAGTTTGGATGGGGCCATGGGCAGCCTGATCAGGTGAGGGGCAGCCCTGCCCATGGCAGGGGGTTGGAACTGGGTGGGCTTTGAGGTTCCTTCCAACCCAAGCAGTTGTGTGATCTTGTGTCTCTGTGATTCATTCTGATTCTAGGAAGCTGAGGCTCAGTGGCCAGGAAGTACGTGTCAAAATAGGTTCCTGGCATCCCCCTAGCTTAATCTCAACACTTTTTTTCCATGCCCATTGTACTTGACACGACGGCATACCCCTTCTTCTGGCAACAGTATGCTGTTATATCAGAGCATCAATTCGTCCTTGTAATTACATTGTGGCCTCCACAGACCTGAGCAAAAATCATTTCATTGAATGTCGTCCAAAGGGCGCAGCCTCGCCTCCGTAGGCTTGTGCTGATGCCAGGAGGAGAGCACAGGCCTCCGTCCCGCTCAGGCCACCGGCTCTGTGCCCTTCTGGTTCGGTTTTCCTTTGGGGCATCCCGCTCCGTGTCCCGCACCCGCCGTGTCCCTGGCCGTGGTGCAGGAGCCCCGCTGTGCTCCGGCCCCGCCGTCCTTTGTTGCCCTGAGAGCCGCCGCAGCAGAGCCGCCTCCTTTCTTAACAGCTGGAATGGGCTTTAAATAAAGCTATTGTATTTGATCAGCCGCTTAGGAAACAATAATTTAGCATAATAGGGAAAGATCGTTAATGTTCAATGAACCTAACGCTCTGCTCCAGTTTTTTGCTGCCCTAGAGGGATGGAGTAAACTCTTTTTCCTTAATTGAAGACTAAATAGAATACGTTTCATTTTTCATTTCCAGCACTTTTTTCAATAGGCTTGCGATGTTCGCTAATGCGTGCTGAAAGGGGTGGGCTGCCCGACCGCAGGGGAAAAATTGGTGGGGAGGGCTCAGAGCGTATGAAGACGCGCTACCCTCTGTCAGATTGCTCCCTCGGGCCCGCGGCTCCTTCCCTGGCAGTCCTCGCACCGTAGGCCTCACGGATGGAGCGGAGGGGATGCGATGCTCCTTCCTGCACCCCGCTGGTCACGTACCCGCCTCCCCCAGACTGGCCTGGGGACGGCAGCGCAGGACATGGGCGGTGGCGGGGGGTGGGGAAGGGAGTGCTGTGCTGTGCCGCGTGCGGCATCGCCGCTTTAAGGCTGAGGGAGGCGGGCGAGGCTCCGTGCCGCCCCTGCGCCGCCCAGGCGGGCATCGAGCGGCCGCCCTGCAGCGGCTCCGGCCGGGGATGCCGTCCTCACGCGTGCTGTCCCGGCCGGAGAGGG